GGCTCACTGCCACCTCCGCCTCCAGGGTTCAAGCCATTCCTCTGCCTCAGCCTCCTGAGTAGCTGAGACTACAGACATGCACCACCATGCCTGGCTAATTTTTTGTATTTTAGTAGAGATGGGGTTTCACCATGTTGGCCAGGATGGTCTCGATCTCTAGACCTCGCGATCTGCCCGTCTCGGCCTCCCAAAGTGCTGGGATTACAGGCGTGAGCCACCATACTTGGTCCACATGTTTTCAATTCTGCTATTTGCCAAGGAGCAGAATTGCGGGGTCAGATGATTACTCTGCTCCACAAATTCCAGCTGCCTCAGCTTCTGGAGCTTAGTGAGCCTAGGGGATTCTGCCTGGGGACCCCTTCCTCTGCCATTGGTACTGCTTCTCCAGGAGGAGGTTTTGGGAGATTGCACAGCTCGCCTTGCTTGTTTCCCTTCTCGGAGAACACAGTGCTATGCTATTTATGGTTTGAGGTCTGAAAACAGTTGTTTCACCTATTCGGTCCAGGAGAGAATCAGTACTGATCACTCCTCTAAGGCTGAAAGTAGATAATGCTTACACTTTTTAAATAGTTGTGTTTAAACACCTGGAACCGTGGCTCATGCCTATAATCCCAGCACTTTGGGAGGCCAAGGCAGGTGGATCGCCTCGGGTCGGGAGTTTAAGACTCCATTGTCTGGAGGTCCCTCGGTGTGTTTATCCATTTACTTACTGAAGAACACCTTGCCTGCTTCCCAGTTCTGGCGGTTATGAAGACAGCTGCTGTAGACACCCACGTGCGGGACAGCAGTGTGGACGTGAGTCATTTGGGCAAATCCAGATGGCTTTGTAATGCTGTTACTTTAACTTTTCTGTGCCGTTTTGTTTCAGAAGTGTCTTTTGTAAGCAGCATATATATAACTAGAATTTTCAAAAGCCAGTCTGTGGAGAGCTGGGAGACAAATATAGCAAAATATTGATTGTAGAATCTAGGTGGTGGGTGTATGCATACATTCTATACAATTCCTTCAGGTTTTCTATATGCTTGAAATAAAATGTAGCGGGGAGGGCCGGGTGTGGTGGCTCACATGTGTAATCCCAGCACTTTGGGAGGTCCAGATGGGTGGATCACTTGAGGTCAGGAGTCGGAGACTAGCCTGGCCAACATGGAGAAACCCTGTCTCTACTAAAAATATATAAATTAGCCAGGCATGGTGGTATAGTCCTATCAATCCCAGCTACTCTGGAGGCTGAGGCAGGAGAACTGCTTGAACCTGGGAGGTGGAAGTTGCAGTAAATCAAAATTGTGTTGCTGCATTCCAGCCTAGGTGACCGAGTGAATGAGACCCCACCTCAAAAAAAAAAAAAATGTAGGGGGAAATGTCACAAAAACCCTTCGGATTTATGAAATAGGACATCACAATGGGCCTTTCAGGAGACGGTCACCCCCTCAGCTCTGCAGTCCAGCCAGGGACAACACACAGAACGTCTTTTATCCCGTGGACAGGAATCACAGCATCCAGCAGCGTCCTTCCCGGCTGTTGCAAGTCCCTGCCCAGCATAGGGACCTGAGGCTCCACAATTTAACCATCTGGAGAACCGCAGGGACTGTGTTGTGCCGCTGGTCACCAACAGAGGGTGCACGGAAAGCAAGTCTGGGTCCAAAGTTCTCACGCCTGCCTTTCCTTTAGGATTATTATTATTATTATATGATTTTTTTTTTTTCTTTTTTAAGACGGGGTTTCACCATGTTGGTCAGGCTGGTCATGAACACCCGACCTCAGGTGATCCACCCGCCTTGGCCTCCAAAGTGCTTGGATTACAGGCGTGAGCCGCCACGCCCCGCCTCCTTTAGGATTCTTCTTTACAACGACACGGCGTTCAGAGTTAAAACAAGCCTCTCCACGTTGGGCCGTGATTCCAGGCATATAATGCGGCGGTGATGGCTGTGGCGGCCTGCTAGCCCGTCTCCCTTCTCTCCTGGGCCTCCTTTCCAAAGATTTCCTTTCCTGCCAGCGTCTCCCATTATACGTGGCGATCCTGGCACAGGACCTGGCCTGACTCAGGACTGGAAGAGCGCTCAGTGCTCATTGAATGAACTGACATTACGTCCCATTTCTCCCTTTGTCTCCCCGCTTGAAAGCAGGAGGATGAATGACAATATCGGCTGTCACTCACCCATCACTGGGGGCCTCCCAGAGCCTGGCTTGTTCAGCCTGGACACTAACGTTCCTAATGGAGTTATCCTGGGAGGCAACAGAACCAGGTGCCCCCTCCCTTTCCCCCTGTTGTGGGTTGAATTGGGTCCCCCCACCCTGAAAAGATACGTCGGTCTCCCAACCCAGGTACCACAGAATGGAACTTTATTTGGAACTAGGTTAACTGCAGAGGAGATTAGTTAATCTGAGGTCATTAGGTTCAGCCCTAGTCCGGTATCAGATCCTTCCTCATGGCCTCGGAGGGAAGCAACTCAGCCCACACCTTGATGTGGGCTTCTGGCCTCCAGCACCTTGAGGAACTCTCAGTTTCTCCTGGTTAGCCCGCTCTGCCTGCAGGAGTTTGTTAATGGCAGCCTGGGAAATGAGTACACCCTCCAACCCCTTCCTGTCACCACCAGTCACTCTGAAAACAGGCAGCTCCAGTTCAGGAAACAAGGGGTGAGAGTGCTGAAGCCCTGGCCTTTGCATGACGGCCCTGCCCAGTGCAGTCAGAATGGTGAGGTCCTTCGTTTTCTGGCTGCAGAACCAGGCTAAACAGCAGCTCTCCAGAGCTGCGATGGGGCAGGTCCCGGGGACCATCTGCACGAGAGGCCCAGTGGGAGCCTGGGGGGTGCAAACAAAGTGACTCTCACACTCCCCTCTCCAGCTTTACATCACAACCCACACTCTAGTTACAGCTCCTGAGGCCATCCCCTGGGTCCCACCCGCGGTCCCACACCAGCCTGGGGGGTAGCAGCATTACTTAGTTAACGGTGGACTTGAACCACGTCCTCAGTGTGGTCATTTATTCAAATGCTTTGCCTGGGAGCCTGTGTGGGCCTGGATCCAGAGGGAGGCATGAAGTCTGTCTGCAAAGCCTTGCTTCCCTTTCAGCAGCTGCCGGTGGCCTGAGCCTGCTGGGTGGCTGGAGCCATCTTTGTGAACAGGGACACCCAGCCCTCTCTGCCTGGCTGACAGCTCTCTCCAAGCTCCCCTGTTGCCTCAGGATAAAGTCTGCAGGCTTCCTCGTAGGGCCTGGCCTGGTCCTCACACCTTGGCCATGGGCCTCTTCCTTCTACCCCTACCCCATGCCAGCCCCAGGCCCTGTACACACAGACCTCAGCAGACACTGCCCGTCATCTCTCCTCTCTTGGACACCCCAGCGTGCCTTTATTTGTGCTTGCTAGCGAGTCCAGCCCCACTCTGTCCACCTAAGAACCCTGCCGATCGTGCGACTCACGTGAAACGTCAGCCAGTGAAGGGTCTGAGCGTGGGAAGAGCCAAAGGGGTGTTTAGATGGAGGGGAGGGTGAGCTAAGCTGTCTGCGCTGGAGTATCCCGCTCCATCTCAGCTAAGGATAACCTGCCAAGAGCTGCCATCTGTCAATGGCCCTGGGTATATGATCCCACAAGACACCCATGTGGAGAAGGAAGACTAACTGGGGTGGGGGGACCCAGTCATTTTTGGGCCTTGGAGCCAGAAATCCCATCCTTGAGGTCAATGACAGGCAGGGGGCTGGACTTCATCCCCACCCTCAGTGGAAAATGCCTCCCACACCTCCTGCCTGGCAATTTCCAAGTCACCCTTCAAGTGTGGCCTGCGGCAGATCGCTAGTTGTCCCCCAAGATGTATGATTTCATTTGTATGCAATTGTAGAGATGTGATGGCCCAGTCCTGCGGTTAGCCAGCTAAGCTTCCCAGCCTCACCTAGGTGTGGTCACATGACTGAATTCTGGTCCATGGGACCCAAGCAGAGGTGAAGTGCCATTTCCATGCCATGTTGCCGTGGAGCAGCAGCACGGTGACCCCCTCCCTTGTTGCCTTTCCTCCTCCCGCCTGGCCAGAGCGCGGCAGGATGGTGGGGACCGGAGCCGCATCCGAGACCGCAAGACAGGAGCTGCGTGTGGGCACGGAGAGGCCAGAGCCACGGGCTAGAAGGAGCCTCGGCAGAGCGACCGTATCCGCTTGCGCTTGTGTGACCGCAGAAAGGAGCCTCTGCTCTTTCAAGGCTGCTGCCGTTTCAGGTCAGTGCGGGAGCCGGCCGAGTGAGGTGGCTGAGTGCCGGTTCTCCTTGGGTGCAGTCCCAAGCGCCCACACTTCCTGGGGGTATGACCTCACCAAGTCACTTAATGTGTCTGTAACTCAGGTTATTCAACTAGAAAATGTGAGTAGTAAAAATACCCACCGATGGCTCCTATGAGAAACAAATTAGTGAATTCCACGCGGAGTGTGTGGATTTGCACACAGCTTGCAGGTGTGAGCAGTAACCATTACTGCCGCTGAACCTAGAGTCTGTGTGGAACGCAGGTTCACCTTAAATCCCAGCTCTCTCCAGGAGGGCCCTGAGCAGGCCCGTGTTGAGCTGCTTCCCAGAGCCCCGCCCAAGACCTTTGCTGGGCTGAGTTGATGTTCCTCATAGAATTACAAGGGAGAAGTTAGAAAAATGTTTTGTCCACAGTGGATGATTACAGCTGAAGGGTACTTGTGGACCAAGGAGTGTACTTTTTTTTTTTTTTTTGAGACAGAGTCTCGGTCTGTCACCCAGGCTGGAGTGCAATGGTGTGGTCTCAGCTCACTGCAACCTCCTCCTCCTGGGTTCAAGCAATTCTCCTGCCTCAGCCTCCCAAGTAGCTGGGATTACAGGCACCCACCACCATGCCCAACTAATTTTTGTATTTTTAGTAGAGACGGGGTTTCACCATGCTGGTCAAGCTGGTCTCAAATTCCTGACCTTGTGATCCGCCCTCCTTGGCCTCCCAAAGCGCTGGGATTACAGGTGTGATCCACCACGCCTGCCCAGGAATGTATTTTTTAAAAATAAATGTGACTCTTTAAGGTTGCCACTCTTTATACGTAAATGACCGGAACAAAGGCGTCTTCTTGATTATCGACTTCCTGTATTAAATTGTGTGAAATAATCTCCTGTAGGCTGATTTGTATAGACTTCATTCATATATTTTTTCCTGATAATGAAACAAAAGGAGAAAAAAAACTCAGCAAATATGTGTACTCCCTAAGTATTCTCTGTTGTTGTTTTTTTGAAAAGGCTCACAAACTTTTTTTAGCGTTACCCCCAAAATACAGAATACATTTCACACCTAACGAGCTCAAAAAAGTGATCCATCTCAACTGCTCCTCAGCGGCGAGCTCACTTTATAATTACACTGCAATTAGATTAGGGACTTCTAACAGTAAAATGTGGGGACATATTAAAATGAAACCTCTATGGGAGTGACTGGATGCTCTGTTCACCCCATTTAATTTATCAGATCATTGTTTTCTTTTTTTAGAGACAAGGTCTCGCGCTGTCAGCCAGGCTGGAGTGCAGTGGTGCGATCAGGGCTCACTGCAGCCTCCAGCTCCTGGGCTTGAGTGATCCCCCCGCCTCAGCTTCCCCAGTGGCTGGGATTTAAACTGTGTGCCATCAGGCTTGGCTTTTCAGATCATTCTTTTTTATTTTCTTTTTTTTTTTTAGACGGAGTTTCGCTCTTGTTACCCAGGCTGGAGTGCAATGGCGCGATCTCGGCTCACCGCAACCTCCGCCTCCTGGGTTCAGGCAATTCTCCTGCCTCAGCCTCCTGAGTAGCTGGGATTACAGGCACGCGCCACCATGCCCAGCTAATTTTTTTGTGTTTTTAGTAGAGACGGGGTTTCACCATGTTGACCAGGATGGTCTCAATCTCTTGACCTCGTGATCCACCCACCTCGGCCTCCCAAAGTGCTGGGATTACAGGCTTGAGCCACCGCGCCCGGCCTTCAGATCATTCTTAATGCTCCTTTTAGGCCCTCAACAGAAGTGATGATAACAGATGGACCCACCAGCAACCAGACATCAAATTGGAGAAAATATTCCTGGGTCCCTCCTGACTTTAAGCCCATAGTTTGATAAACAAGTAGATGTATACTGCGTTTTTCAGTAGCAAGTTCACCTGTGTGATCAAATTTGACATTTTCCTGTAGCTGGAACTCTCAACTCTTGGGGTCCTGTCTATAACTAAGAGACTCCAGGCTTTTTTGGGGCAGGTCAGGAGCCCCTCTCTCTGCCTGGAAAGCCGTTCCTGAGTAGGAAGTACCATCCTCCTTCTGGGTCTCAGCCATGAAGCCTCCTCCAGGAAGCCTTCCTGACTCCCCCAGCAGACTCAGTGCTCTTCCCTGGGGCTTTCCGGTGCCCTCCATCTATGCACCCCATGTGGACAGCAGTGACCTGTGGCCCATGGGTCTGTCAACCTGAGTCAGCCTGCTTGAGGTCCCCAGTGCCCAGATGAGGACCACCCAGGGTGGGGTGTTTCCCTCCTGGCCCCTCCTTGTCCTTGCCCTCCATAGGCCTGCGGTCCCGGGCGGCCCTGGTCCCATCCAGCACTCACTGCAAATGCTGCTCCTTGGCCAGGCTGAGGTTGCTGCTGTCCAGAGCCCTGCGCAAGTCACGCTGCTGGCGCCGCTGCTGCCGCTCAAACAGCAGGGTGGCGCGAGCCCCCTGAATCCGCCGACGGTCCCAGTCCAGGTCTCGCTGGCGCTCCTCTTCCTGGAGCCTCTGGAAGGAAGAGATGACTCACCATCACCTTTCCGCAGGTCCAAAGAGCCCAAGGGGATTGTCCAGGAGGCCTGGCCGCTCATTCTACAGATGGGGAAACCGAGGCTCAGAGGAGGGGCAGGTAGGTGACTATGTTATGCAGGAAGCCAGAGGAGAGCCCCAGCCTGCCCTCATTCCATGTGGCCCAGCTGCCCTCCACCACCAGGAGGTGCTGGCCGCCCTCTTTCTCCTGAAGGCGCAGCAGGGACTCAATTCCTACAGCGGCCTCCACTCCTGGCTCCCGGGGGCAGGGCTCCCAGGTGCAGGCTGGGCCAGGGTCTTCCTCCTTAGGTCCTCAGGGGGCTCCCTGGCTGGGTCAGCACCACCTCCATGAGCCATGGCCTGCTGCCCCACAGCTGAACGCAGATCATTCGGGCAGCTTCCAGAACATGCAGACACCACAGCCTCACTTGTGACAAGAAGGTCATGATCTTAGAGGGGCACCCCAACCCCTGAGTTGCTATGTTTCAGCTCATTTCTCACCGCCCTCCAGACTGCTCTGTGAAAACCCCAGAGCCCTGGAAGAGGAAGCTGCATTTACGTGACGGGAGGGGCACTTTCCCACGTGAAGACCAGTCCCCTTTGCCCATTTTTGCCAGTTTTAGGGCAGAGCTTCCTCCCGCCAAATGAGCAAGGATAAGTGTCTGGTGCGTGGCACAGGAACCTGGGTGGCCCCATCCTGGGACTGAAGGCAGGCTGGCAGTCTTTGCCACCCACTAGGCAAGTCACCTGGCTCCCACGAACCTCAGTGTCCCTGCTGTAAAGGCAGGCTGCTCTCAGGAGCCTGGGGTCATCACACAAGCTGGTTGGTCGAAAACAGGGAATGGCACGAGACACACTAACCTGGGCTAAGAGCAGAGCAAAAAGCCCGGCTGTTCACTGCAAGATCCCGGCTTTCCCAGGTACCGCCAAGCACAGAAAAGGGGGTGGAACAACCCAGAAAGGAAGGGCGGTATTTCTGAGTGGGGAGGTTTCATGCGTTTTGCTCCCTTTGTGCTTTTCTGTCGTCTTCTTCTTTTTCTGAGACGGGGTCTCACTCTGTCGCCAGGCTGGAGTGCAGTGGCGTTATCTCAGCTCACTGCAACGTCTGCCTCCTGGGTTCAAGCAGTTCTCCTGCCTCAGCCTCCTGGGTAGCTGGGATTACAGGTGTGTACCACCACACCTAGCTAATTGTTTTGTGTTATGTTTTTAGTAGAGATGGAGTTTCGCTATGTTGGCCAGGATGGTCTCGATCTCCTGACCTCGTGATCCACCCGCCTCGGCCTCCCAAAGTGCTGGGGTTATAGGCGTGAGCCAGGTGTACCCGGCTGTCCTAATTTTCTATAAAAAATGAAAACTAGACAACCATACTGCTTTCAGGATGGCTGGCCGACCATCTGTGCCAGACAGTACAGGCAGAGCTGCAGTCCTGAAGCACAGAGCAGGGCCCCGGACCCCGACTCCAGCCTTGGGGCTCTTTCCACCTTGGACTACTTCCTAAGCCTCACGCCTCCTGCCTACCCAGGTCCTGGCCCCACTGCAGCCTCTCCCACACACGTGCACCTCTGGCCTGCAGGGAGGAAGGTGCCCCACCCACTCCTCATGCCCTGGTCCACACCCCCGCCACTGCCCCTTGTCCTTCCCGGACCCACCAAATCAGAAGCTAACACCAACGATGGCATCTGCCACCCAGCCTGGCCTCTCCCACCCTCCTTTGCAGGTTTGAGACCCTCTCCAGACCTCTCCTGCCAGATTCTCAGTGGTTTCGGCATGCGCAGAGACGGCCCTCCCCTGTCCCCGCTGCTCAGCTCTCCCGCCTCCTCTTCAAAGACCTAGTTCCAGTTTCACCTTCTCACCCTCTGGGCACACCATACCAGTAGTTCTCAAGCTTGAGTGGGCATCAGAATCCCCTAGGGGCTTTTGAAACCACAGACTGCGGGCCCCACCTGGCCAGTGCTGCGGGCTGGCGACCCTCCCTTTGGGACCCTCCACCCTTCCTTTGTCATTACCAGTAACGCTGCCCCAACAGTCTCACTGCTGTGACCTGCCTCTTCCACTCTCTCTCCAAGACCCTGACTCCCACGACTATGCGCCCCCTGAATTGTGACCTGCAGTCCGCTGGCCGCCACTTTTCCGTTCTCTCTCTGGCCCCCTGGTTTGTCTCACGGCAGACGTTCCCAGGCCGATTCCTTCGGCCCCCTGAGCCCTTCACTTGGTCAGGCAGGCGGTGACCATGATGAATCTGGCTAAGCATGGGTGGGGACACCCAAAAGGGCTCTCTTTGGGTCACTTCAAGGTCATGACTACGACCCTCCCAAGTGGGCCCTGGGCACTGTCCGACCACCCTGTCCCCTTCCTCCAGGCTGTTCCCTTTCTGGCTCTTCTAGGTGACCATGTAGCACTAACTCCCCCTCCCTCAATTCTACTTCTAAAAGGTAGAAAAACTTTAACTTCTAAAAGGTAGAAAATGCACTGTCACTTCAGTGCTCCTGAGCCACAGCTCTCAGTACAAATCAATTCCAGGTCTAATTTCTGTTCTGATCCTGCTGGTCAATTTCACTAGAAAAGAGAGGCTCTGGAAGAGGCTCCCCAAGCTCCCACCCTGACGCTCCTTCCCATGGCTCCCATGATGGCTCTCTGAGCTCCCAGGCCCCACCAAGCCCTCAACAGCACTCCATGTCCCTTGCTCACCCGCAGCCCAGGGACATGGCTCCAGCAAGTCTCTCCTCTGGCATCAGTCTCAGAAGTATGGTGTTATTTACATAATCAAAACAGACAGACAGAAGCTTGCCCTTCACGCCATGGCCCCGACCAGCTACCACTCCATTTCTCTGCACCCTTTACAGCAAACGCTCCTAAGTGTTGTCTACATTTGCCATCTCCATTTCTTTCCTGCCTGTTCTCTTGAGCCCATTAGGCTGTCGGCCCCACTCCTCTCCAAACATGCTCCTTCCTGACGGTCCCCGGCGGCCACCATGGTGCCGGATCCAGCGTTTAGCCCACAGCCGGGCAGCAGTGTCTGACCCAGGGGTTCCCCTCTCCTTCCCTCCCAAACACCTTTCCTCACTTGGCCTCCAGGAAACCACGGCTTGCATCCATCCACCTCCCTGGTGGCCCCTTCTCAGGCCCCTTTGCTCTTTATAAACGGTGGTAGTGAGAAGGGGGACCCCAGGGGGGAGCAGGACTCAGTCCTCAGCTTTAAATACTCTCTGTAGGGCCAGGCACAGTGGCTCACACCTGTAATCCCAGCACTTTGGGAGGCTGAGATGGGCAGATCACTTGAGACCAGGAGCAGAGGGATCTACTAAAAATACAAAAATTAGCTGGGCGTGGTGGGGCACGCCTGTAATCCCACCTTCCCAGGAGGCTGAGGCAGGAGAATTACTTGAACCTGGGAGGCAGAGGTTGCACTTTGCCTCCAGCCTGGGTGATACAGTGAGACTCTGTCTCAAAATGTGTATATACATACTCTCTGCAGGTGACGACTCACATTTATGCCTCCGGCCCAGACCTTGTTCTGAGCTCTATGTTACATATCCAGCTGGGCTTTAATTGGAGGTTGTGGCAGAAAATACCACTTTTCTCCCAGTAGCCATTTTTCATTCTTCCTTAGTAAAAGAATCACCAGCACGTCACTGCCTGGAATAAGTGTGACATTTCCCTCCCTTCTTTAGAGTTGGGGCAACTCCGTGACTAAGTGTTGTCTGATGAAATATAAGTGAAATTCTCCATGCCTCCTTCCTGGTAGCTGGACTATGCACGTGATGGCTGGTGCTCAAGCAGCCATCCTGCACTAAGAAGTGACAGCCAGGAGACAGTTAGCAGGACATCAGTCAGTGACCACAGAGCTGCCATATGAGCCCTGGACTGTTTTCCTGAGGATTCAGACTACATGCAAGAGACTATTTTAAGATGCTGTAATTTGTGGTTTTCTGCCACATTCAAGCAAATCTAATCCTAATAGATACAGCTATCTAATGAACTTTGCATACTTCAGGTATCTAAAATTGTAATTTTGATTTCCACCTGCTCCTCCCACTGTCTTCCCCATCTCTGGAAATGCCAATTCCACCCCTCTAGTTGCTCGGGCCACAAGGCCTGGAGTCATTTCTCATTCCTCTCTTTCACACGCCCCCACCCAATCCTTCATCCAGCGCTGTAGACTCTAGCTTCAGAATACATCCGGAATCTGAGCCCTGCCCAGCAACCCCCCTGCCAGTGCTGTGGTCCCGGCCAACACGGCCTCTCACCGTGAGCACTGCAGAGGCCTTCCTGGAGGTTTCCTGCCTTCGCCCTCAGGCCCTAGCGTCCACCTTCAACACAGGGGGCTCCGGCTGGGGATCCTGTGCCACCTAAGTCAGAACCTGTCCCTCCTCCGTCCAAAACCCTCCAGAGCTCCCTGTCTCGGTCACAGAAGAAGCCGACGTCCGCCCCAGTAGCCTTCCTGCAGGACCTCGACCCTCTGCCTCTGAGGCCTCGGCGCCTGCCCACCCCCCAGTCCACCGCAGGCACCAGGCTCCTCGCTCTTCTCCCAGCAGCTCTGACGGGTCCCGCCTCAAGGCCTGTGCCCTCGCAGCTCCCCCGCCTGCTCGCCCTTTTCCCAGGTCCACACACGGCTCCCTTCTTGCCTGATTTTGGGTCTCTGCTTCGACATGTACCCAGTCTACTGCCCTCCTTCCTGGCACTCCTCCTCCTGATGCCACAGTATATGGGTGTGAGATTATCTGGCCTGTCTCCCCCGACTAGAAGGGAAACTCCCTGAGGCCAGCTCCTAGGGCAGAGCACAGGGCCTGCTGCGAGGAGGCTGGTGCCTGGGAGGCAGCAGGAGCACAGGGGCCGGCTCGGCGGGCTCTGGGAAAAGGGGAGGGGCAGTCACCAGCTTCTCCTGGACTTGCTGCTTCTGGACCAGGCGGATCTGCTCCAGCTGCTCCTGGGTCATGCCCTTCCAGCGGTCGGGGACCACGCGGTGGGGCCCGAAGGAGCTGGCTGCCTGCTGCGGGTTCTCAGACAGCAGGTCCCCACGCAGCAGGTTGCTGATCTCGGCCAAGTTGTCCTCTTGTTCCTGTGTTTTCTCTTGCTTTTTCCTTTCTGCTGACTCAATGGCCTAAGCAGGTGAAGACATGAAAGATGGTCTGAGTGACCCCAGGGGTCTTCTGATACGCAGGCCAGCAAATCTCCCTGCGGGCCCTCGAGGGAAGGATATGCTAAGGGCAGCAGGAGCCGGGTGGAGGGGAGACTTGTCAGGTGCGGATGTGGGAGGGTCCCGGAACCTCTGCCTGAGCACTGCTGGGCAGGTGGGCTGGACTCAGGGGATCACCCCCTCCTGGGGGTGTGCATAAGAGCTCTGGGTCTTGCACCAGCTTGCCAAGGCAGGGAGCTCCCTCCCTGGGTTAGGCCACCACCCAGCGTTGGCCTGGCCCCACCCAGGGCAGGGCTCTGCCCTGGCAACCCTTGGACATTGGTGGGCCGCAAAGAACACCGACAGAGTGACTCGCAAGGGTGATGACTTCTCAAAGGCAGAAAATGCACTGTCACCTCGGTCGTTCTACATGCCGCAGTCGCCAGTACAAATCAATTCCAGGTCTAATTCTGTTCCATTCCCTGGGAGGTCCCTGGCTGTGTGACCTGCACAAGTCAACCTCCCCTCTCGGGGCTGCAGTCATTTCTCTGTGAAGTCAGGAGATGGTGCAGGAGACATGTACTTGGGTTAACAGTTGTCCTCCGTAACACATGGACAGGGCAGTTTGCAAGGGGCCAGCATTCCACAGGTGCTCACCAGAGGCCACCTTCCTTGAGTCACACGGCACAGGCTTTGCAACTGGACGGGCCCATGTTCAAATACTGGACTTGCCACTGAGTACTCCCTAAGAAAGACAGCTCATCCTTTCAAGGCTCTTTTCTTTTTTTTTGAAACAGTCTTACTGTGTTGCCTGGGCTGGAGTACAGTGGTGTGACCTCTGCTCACTGCAATCTCCACCTCCTAGATTCTCCTGCCTCAGCCTCCCAAGTAGCTGGGATTACAGAGGCCCACCACTGCACCCAGCTGATGTTTTGTATTTTTAGCAGAGATGGGGGTTTCACCATACTGGCCTGGATGATCTTGAGCTCCTGACCTCCTGATTCACCCACCTCAGCCTCCCAAAGTGCTGGGATTACAGGTGTGAGGCAATGCACTGGCCTCTTTTTTTTTTTTTTTTTTTTTTTTTTTTTTTTTTTTTTTAAGACAGGGTCTTACTCCATTGCCCAGGCTGGAGTGCAATGGTACACTCAACTCACTGCAGGCTCAAGCGATTCTCCTACCTCAGTCCCCGAAATAGCTGAGACTATAGGGGTGTGCCACCATACCTGGCTAATTTAAACTGACAGAGTCCCGCTATATTGCCCAGTCTAGTCTTGAACTCCTGAGCTCAAATGATCCTCCCGCCTCAGCTTCTCAAAGTGTTGAGATTACATACATGAGCCATGGTACCTGGGCCTGAGCCTGTGAAGTTTGATTAATCACGCCTCTGTGGTAGGGTTGCTAAACATAGTGACTACTAAGAGCAGCTAACTGTTACTGGGATTTTAAATATTGGCCAACCAAGTGGATCACCTGAGGTTAGGAGTTCGAGACTAGCCTGACCAACATGTTGAAACCCTGTCTCTACTAAAAATACAACAACAACAACAGAAGTCAGGCATGATGGCATGCCCCTGTAATCCCAGCTTCTCAGGAGACAGGCAGGAGAATCACTTGAACTCAGGAAGCAGAGGTTGCAGTGAGCTGAGATCACACCACTGCACTCCAGCCTGGGCAAGAGTGAGAGTTAGTCTCAAAGTAATAATAACAATATTGTTTTATATTTAATATTGGTTTTTTTGAGACGGAGTTTCGCTCTTGTTACCCAGGCTGGACTGCAATGGCGCGATCTCGGCTCACCGCAACCTCCGCCTCCTGGGTTCAGGCAATTCTCCTGCCTCAGCCTCCTGAGTAGCTGGGATTACAGGCACGCGCCACCATGCCCAGTTGATTTTTTTGTATTTTTAGTAGAGACGGGGTTTCACCATGTTGACCAGGATGGTCTCTACCTCTTGACCTCGTGATCCACCCGCCTCGGCCTCCCAAAGTGCTGGGATTACCGGCTTGAGCCACCGCGCCCGGCCTTAATATTGTTTTAATAATAATATTGACCTTTGCAGCTCACTGGGTGGTGAGCTCGGACACCTGGTGTCTTGCTTTGTCCTCGGTCCTCCCCAGCACCCAGTTTGCTCTCCTCATTTCTCTCCCCGGTGTTGACAACCCACATTCTCTGGTGTCTGGTCCAGCCTCTCTGGGATTTTCGACTGCCCGCCCCCACCAGCAGAACAGTAGAGTTTGTATCTCCAAAATAATTAGTTCACAGTGTGGCACTACTGTACTTTAATTATAGCATATGCTCTGTAATGACACATGAACATGAGGCCGGGCTCTGGTATTCTCCTCTCCAATGGATCGGGACCCATGTGGTCTTTAGGGACCACAGTTGTAGCTGACAAGAGAATATGATCAATCTGGCCAAGTCCTCACCCACCGAAAACAGAATTGCATTTGAAAAGAAAACCTTGCTGGGGGAGGGAGGGGAAGGAGGTGAGCTCCAATTTCCATGAGTAAAAGAGTCCCAGCTCTGGCCGGGCGCGGTGGCTCACGCCTGTCATCCCAGCACTTTGGGAGGCCGAGGCGGGTGGATCACGAGGTCAAGAGATCGAGACCATCCTGGTCAACATGGTGAAACCCCGTCTCTACTAAAAATACAAAACATTAGCTGGGCGTGGTGGCTCGTGCCTGTAATCCCAGCTACTCAGGAGGCTGAGACAGGAGAATTGCCTGAACCCAGGAGGCGGAGGTTGCGGTGAGCCGGGATCGCGCCATTGCGCTCCAGCCTGGGTGACAAGAGCGAAACTCCGTCTCAAAAAAAAAAAAAAAAAAAAAAAGAATCCCAGCTCTTTGTGAGGCTGAGGCAGACAGAGCGCTTGAGCTCAGGCGTTTGAGACCACCCTGGGCAACATGGCAAAACCCTGTCTCTACAAAAAAATACAAAAATTAGCTGGGTATGGTGGCACAGGCCTGTAGTCCCAGCTACTCAGATGGCTGACGTGGGGGATCACCTGAGCCTGGGCTCAGGCTGCAGGAGCCATGATCACGCCACCACACTCCAGCCTGGGTGATGGAGTGAGACCGTGCCTCAAAAACAAAAAACAGGGCCGGGCGCGGTGGCTCAAGCCTGTCATCCCAGCACTTTGGGAGGCCGAGGCGGGTGGATCACGAGGTTGAGAGATCGAGACCATCCTGGTCAACATGGTGAAACCCCGTCTCTACTATAAATACAAAAAATTAGCCGGGCATGGTGGCGCATGCCTGTAATCCCAGCTACTCAGGAGGCTGAGGCAGGAGAATTGCCTGAGCCCAGGAGGCGGAGGTTGCGGTGAGCCGAGATCGCGCCATTGCACTCCAGCCTGGGTAACAAGAGCGAAACTCCTCCTCAAAAAAAAAAAAAAACAACAACAAAAAACAAAGAAACAGAGAAGGATCTACTTCAGCAACTTCAGCATCAGGTTGGAGGGGAGGGCAGTGTGTGGGAGGAGGGGGGCCAGAGTTTAGAGGAGGCAGGAGCTTTCAGAAGACCCTACTGTCCGAGCTCATCACAGTAGTCTCCCACCCTGCCATCAGTGAGCATCCATGTACGTGTTCTCGGTAAACGGGAGCTCGGAGAGGGGAAGAACGAAGCCAGCAGCAGGCGTGGCAGCAGAGCTAGGCAGTAAAAGTCTAGTGGATGTCACCGTACTCATGTTACAGAAGAAACTGAGGTGTGGAAAAGGGAGTTGGGCAGGTTTCCTTCCAAGACTCAGAGATCAGGGGACAGGACTGGGTCTCATCCGTCTCTGTAATCAATCAGGCAGCCCGTCAGGGGCTCCATCAGGGCTGGTGATGTGGCCAGGGGAGTGGACTGAGACTGGGATTCCCGGGGAGGCAGGAGAGCCTCGGGAAGCTGCGGTGGATTCGTCCTCCCCTCCGGTCGCGGAGCCTGGGGTATCGGGGTACCTATACCTGGCTCTTGTTGAACTCTTTCACAGACGTACAGACCGCCTTTCGGGTGGCGCTTTCCAGCTTCTGTAGGTGCCTGGCTGTCTCATCAAACTGCAGCCTGGTCTCCGTGTAGAAGGCCTCTGAAAGGAGGCGAGACGCAATCAGACCCACCTGGCCACAGGAGCGCCTTCTCCCTGCCGCGTGGCCATTCGTGCCTTTGCCTCCTACCACGTCCTCAGCCGTGAGCATGAGGTGGGAACAATAATGACAGGACCTGCTGAGTGCCGGTGATCACTACCATGCTGGGGTCCTGGGACAGGCTGGTGCTGTGCCCCCTGCTGTCCTGCTCTATGCGGACGCAGCTACATCCTTACAGTGAGAAAGAGACACTCTACAGCCCCGGAAATGACGTTCGAGACCTACAGGACAAAAGAAGTGGGTTGGGAGCAGGTGCAGAGATTCTGGGGTGGGAAAAGATTGAGCAGAATCCAGAAGTGAAAGAGGAAGACAGCAGGAACATAGCCAGTGGAGAGGGCAGAGTCAAGAGCAAGGGGTGGGCAGAGCCTATGGTCTGCGGGAGGATTCTGCATCCCTCTCCATGTTCATGGGAAGCCATTAGTGGGCTTGAAGCTGGGATCCACGGGGTAGGGTGCTGCTGTCCAAACCCCACACTGCTTTTTCTTGTTGTTGTTGTTTTTGACATGAGTTTTCGCTTTTGTTGCCAAGGCTGGAGTGCAATGGCACAGTGTTCTGAATGGCCCGCTGGGTGCAGGCCATCAAGGCTGTCATGCTTGTAATCCTAGCACTTTGGGAAGCCAAGGCGGGCGGATCACAAGGTCAAGAGATCAAGACCATCCTGGCCAACATGGTAAAACCCCATCTCTACCAAAACCACAAAAATGAGCTGAGCGTGTTGGTGTATGCCTGTAGTCCCAGCTACTCCGGCGGCTGACGCAGGAGAATCACTTGAACCTGGGAGGCATGGCTGCAGTGAGCTGAGACTGCATCTTTGCACTCCAGCCTGGCAGCACAGCAAGACTCTGCCTTAAAAAAAACGAAAAACAAAAAACCAACCTTGGATCAGGCGACCTGGAGGTTACCGGTGAGATTGGCCAGGGCAGTTCCAGTGGAACAGGGAGGGGCATAAATCTGGTAGGAGTAGGTTCAGAGAGAATGGGAGCAGATAATCTGGGGAGACATCACTCATGGAGAGTAAGAGGAGGCTGGGAGGAGCATGAGCTCAGCAAGGAGACTGCGCACTAACAAGCAGAGAGGAGGGGCTCAAGATGGAGTGTGTCTCTCCCTGGACCTGCTCCTTGTTTCGGCTTCCTCATAGCTCCTGACTATTTCATTGCCCGCTGACACACCCCAAGAGAGCAGGGTGTTGTCATCTTCATTACTGGGTCTTCCTGGCACAGAAGTGGCTGGGAGGATCAGCGCTGCCTGGGTACATGCATGAAGAGGAGCTGGGAGAGCAGAGTGCTGCTGACCTCAGTGAACGCAGGACGCATTGGGCTTTCTGCAGTTCCTTCAATGAGAGGCTGTTTTGTGCCTTGGAGCATTTGCTTAAGAGGTTCCCTGGGCTTGGGGAGTCCTGGTGAGGACATATGACCACCACGCCTGCAGCTACACTCCTTGAGTTCCTTGTAGGAATCTTTTTTTTTTTTTTTTTTTTTTTTTTGAGATGGAGTTTTGCTTTTATTGCTCAGGCTGGAGTATAATGGTGCAATCTCAGTTCACTGCAAACTCTGCCTCCCGATTCAAGCGAGTCTCCTGCCTCAGCCTCCTAAATAGCTGGGATTACAGGAATGGGCTACCACGCCTGGGTAATTATTTATTTTTAGTAGAGATGGGGTTTCTCCGTGTTGGTTAGGCTGGTCTTGAACCCCCGACCTCAGGTGATCTGTCTGCCTCGGCCTCCCAAAGTGCTGAGATTACAGGCGTGAGCCACTGTGCCCAGCCCCCTGTAGGAACTTTCACCACAGCACCCAAGAGACTTGGGAAGACATGCATCTTTCCCATTCACCTTCCTAGCAGGCTGGGAGGGCAGGGGCCGATTCTGAGTTACCTTTGCACGCCAGCATCCCACTGGGACCTGAAATGCAAAGTGTTTACCACTTGACTGAGGGGTGACTGGAGATGTTTCACTCCTGGAGGGCAGGCTCTGACTTTTCTTTCCCCACAGGGCCAACGCAGCATGTGGCCGTGCACATTAGGACTTAAAAAAACACACACACACAAACTGTAGGGTTGCTAAAAAAGCAAAAAACAAAACAACGCAGAAAAACTGTAGGGTTGGTTTGTGGAGGAGAGCATGGAGACCGGTTGGTCCCTTCTCTTTCATTACCTGCGTGTTTCTGTTCAGCCCGGGCATTCTCCCATTCCCTCTGCTGCTGCAAGGACCATTCTCTGTTCTGTTCTTCTTGGAATTTCTTCCTCTCGTGGAAGTTTAAATCCTCTCCCATGAATTTCTGCATTCCTGATATCGTATTCCGAATATCATTATCTGACTGCCGGGCTGGAAGATCTTTCTTAAGGGCTAGGGGGTCAGACAGATCAAATTCACGGCGAGTTTCTGGCTTCTGAAAGCTCTGCTGGAAGTCACCGATGGCCCTACAGAGATTTTTCCGATCCCTCTTTATCCGGTTTTCCAATATGCACATTACTTTGTCATTTTGCCTCATTTCAGCAGCTGGAAGAGATACCGTATATCCATAAGCTTAGGATTCAGAGGAAAAAGTAAGTTTGAATATCCTATCTATTCTATTCTAATTTTGAGATGAGTCTCCCACTGTCTCCCAGGCAGGAGTGCAGTGGCGCAATCTCAGCTCACTGCAACTTCGGCCTCTTGGGTTCATGTTCATGCAATTCTTCTGCCTCAGCCTCCCAAGTAGCTGGGATTATTGGCGCCTGCCACCACGCCTGGCTAATTTTTTTTTGTATTTTTAGTAGAGATGAGGTTTCACTATGTTGGCTAGGCTGGTCTCAAACTCCTGACCTCTTGATCTGCCTGTCTCGGCCTCCCAAAGTGCTGGGATTACAGGCATGACCCATCATACCCGGCCCCCATTTTATTTATTTATTTATTTATTTATTTATTTATTTATTTATTTTTTAAGAGATAGGGCCTCATTATGTTGCCTGGGCTGGTCTCCTGGCCTCAAGCAGTCTTTCTGCCTCAGCCCCCCAAGTTACTGAGATTACAGAAGTGAGCCACTGCACTCAGCCCATGAATCTACTTTGAAAACTAATTTTTTCAGTGATTACAAAAGTAATACAACCCTCCAAGAAAGTAACACAGCCATTAAAGGATTGTTATACTGAATATACAAAGAGTACCAACAAATCAATTTTTAAAACCCAAAAACCCAACCCCCAAAATGGGCAAAATGTAGGAACAGCCAGGCAAATCACTATAAAGAAACCTGAGTAATCAATACACTTATGAAAGGATGATCACCCATGCAAGGTGGGAAACATCCAACGAATTGGAGGCAAAATATTTAAAATCCTAACAATGGCACATATTAGTAAGGATGTGGGGAAACAAGATCTCTCATTTGTGGCTGGGTGCCGTGGCTCCTGCCTGTAATCCCAACACTTTGGGAGGCCGACATGGGTGGATCATGAGATCAAGAGTTCGAGACCATCCTGGCCAACATGGTGAAATCCCCTTTCTACTAAAAATACAAAAATTAGCTGGGCGTGGTGGTGCATGCCTGTAGTCCCAGCTATTCAGGAGGCTGAGGCAGGAGAATTGCTTGAACGTGGGAGGCAGTGGCTGCAGTGAGCTAAGATCACGCCACTGCGCTCTAGCTGGGTGATGGAGGGAGACTTCGAGGAAAAAAATAAAAGATATCTCATTTGCTGCTTGTAGGAGTGTAACTTGGTACACTTACAACAAAGTAATTCTGCAGCATCCCACAAAACTACCTTTGACCCATCAATTCCACTTCTAGATATCCCTCTCACGATGTGCTAGGGACAGAATACATGGACAGTCATCGAAGCAGCGTTCACAATGACAAAACAACTGAAAAAAAACCCAAACCAGCCATCAGCAGGGGAATGGACGAAGAAACTGTAGTTATAGTTAATTCATTTAACAAAATGCCATGAAACAACTAAAATGAATCCTCTCTATATGTAAATCACTGATTAACTTAAAAAAATATAAACCTCAATGAAAGAAAAGCATATTGCAAATGCATCTATTCAATAGGATGCCATTTATATAAGTTTTTAAAACACATAGAAACAATTTTATATTGTTTGGCATATATACATAAACAAAGAGTACAGGTATAAAAATGCAGGGGGGCTGGGGGTGGTGGCTCATGCCTGTAATCTCAGAAGTTTGGGAGGTCAAGGTGGGCAGATCACCTGAGGTCAGGAGTTTGAGACCAGCTTGGCCAACAAGGTGGAACCCTGCCTCTACTAAAATACAAAAAAATGAGCCTAGTGTGGTGGTGCACGCCTCTAATCCCAGCTATACCGGAGGCTGAGACAGGAGAATCACATGAACCAAGGAGGTGGAGGCTGCAGTGAGCTGAGATCTCACCATGGCACTCCAGCCGGGTGACAGAGCAAGACTCCATCTCAAAAAAAAAAAAGAAAAAAAAAATGCATGGGAATGATAAACATTTCTGAGGAGAAAGAAAGAAGAAAATTATGCGGTGGGGGGAGCGCTGCTGCTCTACATAAATATGTATGTATATTAAATAAAATTCTCAAAAAACACTCAAGCTATCTGAAGCCAATTCGGCAAAATGTTAACATCTAGCCTGGTGACGGGTACATATGTATCTGTCACATTGTTTTTGTAAGTTTGAATTACCTCATAACAAAATATTAATAAAAAAGATGAAACATTTGGAACATATAGAACAGTATAAAGGAGAAAATAAAGTTTACTCATAATTCTGTCCCTCCAACATTACCACTGCTAACGTTTTGCTATATTTCCTTTCTGTCTTCTAAGCATATTTTAAAAACAATCAATAGCACATTGTACAATTTTGTATTTTGCTTTTCTCTATTATAAAAATCCTTATGGTGTTTCAAAACACTGAAATTTCTTTCTTTTTTTTTCCAATTTATTTTTTGCAGAGATGGGGGTCTTACTTTGTTACCCAGGCAGGTCTAGAACTCCTGGTCTCAAGTGATCCTCTAGTTTCAGCCTCTCAAAGTGTAAAATTTCAAGAACTGTTGAAATTGTTGAACATGATATGGGAAAATGAGTTCTATTTGAAGTGGAATAATCGTGACTTGAATAATAGTATTCAGGGTACTTGAATACTGTGATTTGAATCATGTCTATCTGTGAGTCAGCTTAAGGGTGTGCACCTGGGCTTATGTGTTGTCTGGTATAAACAGCTGTTCTCCATAGAGGGTCTTAAACTTCTGGGCAGAGAAAGAGTGTGTGTGTGTCTTTCTGTGTTTAAGGCTTTTCCTACCCAGTTTTTTTAAGAAAGTAGAGGAAAACATACATTTATCCTTAAAAATCTACTTCCTGTAATCCACATTCAAATTCAATAGCTGTTTTAAGAGAAGAAGAATCAGTGCATCAAGTTAACTGAGCCCAAGAAATTGTGAAATTTAAGAGGAAGCGTATGAAAATGACAACTTTTTATGTATATGAAGAAAGGAGGGTTGGGCACAGTGGTTCATGCCTGTAGTTCCAGCACTTTGGGAGAATGACGTGGATCACTTGAATTCACGAGTTCCAGACCAGGCTGGGCAACACAGTGAGACCCCCATCTCTATTAACAAAAAAAAAAGGGGGAGCGGGTAAGACTGGAATCTAAAGGCACACGACCCTAAACCAATAGTTGAGCATTCAGAACATGCTCACCAAAGGTTTCATGTCTAGCTTTTTCAGTGGCTTCTTTTATCTTCTGGTCATGAACCTGAACATCCCAGGCTTCAGTGTCTCCCTATAAATGGAAAAACGGGAGACAGATTAGAGCCAGATAATGTTATTCCGTGCATAACAATCCTACTTATTATTATTATTATTATTATTATTTTTTTTTTTTTGAGACGGAGTTTTGCTCTTGTTACCCAGGCTGGAGTGCAATGGCACGATCTCGGCACACCGCAACCTCCGCCTCCCGGGTTCAGGCAATTCTCCTGCCTCAGCCTCCTGAGTAGCTGGGATTACAGGCACGTGCCACCATGCCCAGCTAATGTTTTGTATATTTTTAGTAGAGACGGGGTTTCACCATGTCGACCAGGTTGGTCTCGATCTCTCGACCTTGTGATCCACCCGCCTCAGCCTCCCAAAGTGCTGGGATTACAGGCTTGAGCCACCGCGCCCGGCTAAATCCTACTTATTATTTTTTAATCTTTGCCCCCATTGTAAGAGTTGTAGAAAACCTGGCTCAGGGGAGAAGTGCTGGTGACTCCAGGCGAGGTCGAGAGAGAGCATAACAGAGCCTGCTCAGGTCTCCCCCACCTTCAGCAAGGCCGATGCATCGAATTCTTCCTCCCCTCAAGCTACTTCTCTCCTGCAAAACCCGGGGCCGCCCGGAGCCTCCTGGCTCAGGTGTTTCATCCTAGAACGCATCTCCTTTCCCCTCCACGCCGCCGCTCGCCCGCATCCGCCCTCTGACCCCGCCCCGGCTCCCGCCCTTTCACCCCAATGATCCTGTTCCTGGCGTTGAAGACCCGCTTCTGCCTGCACAGCTCCGCGTGCCTCCTCTTGGCCAGGCTGGCGTCCTGCTGCAAGTCCCTGGGCAGCGCCAGCGCCATGGTTCGGGAACCCACGGAAAGCCTAAGGGGTTTTTAGAAGACAGCGCAGGGCGGGTCGGCCCCCTGGGTCCGGCCGGGGAAAGACGAGCCTGCAGCGCGGTGGTCCGTCGCGGGGCCCGGCAGCGCCGCGCAGGTGCAGGCGCTCGCGCCGGCTCCGACACGTCCACAACCCGTTGCTAAGGAACAGCGCCGCTCTCGCCGCGCCTCGCTCTCGTCTCGCGAGACTCGGGGCAGCCCTTCCCGCGCTTTTCCCCGCGGGCTCGTGAGGACGCGGCTGAGGCGCGGAGGGCGGCGTCATGGGGCACCTGGAGCTGCTGTTCGTGGAGAACTTCAAGTCGTGGCGGGGCCGCCAGGTCATAGGCCCCTTCCGGAGGTTCACCTGCATTATCGGCCCCAACGGCTCTGGTAACTGCGCAGCTCGAGGCGCGACCAGAGGCCGCCGCCGCCCCAGCCGTCCCGGCCGGACGTGGCCGCAGGGGTGCGGGCGGCTGCCGCGGGGGCTGGGCCGGGACCCCGACCCCGACCGCGGCCCTCGCCCTCCACCTCGGGGGTCCTGACCCTTCCCCTTCGCCCCGCCTCGGCCCCTGACCTCCCCCGACCTCCGCCTCGGACTCCCGACCCTCGTCGGACACCCCGGGGGCCCCACCCCACCTCCGCCCCGGCCCTCGCCCTCCTCCCGGGGGTCCCCACCCTCCTCCTCCTCCCGGGGGTCCCGACGCTTCCTCTCCGCCCCACCCGGGGTCCCCACCCTCCTCCTTCTCCTCCCGGGGGTCCCGACGCTTCCTCTCCACCCCACCCGGGGTCCCCACCCTCCTCCTCCTCCTCCTCCTCCCGGGGGTCCCGACGCTTCCTCTACACCCCACTCGGGGTCCCCACCCTTCTTCTCCTCCCAGGGGTCCCGACGCTTCCTCTCCACCCCACCCGGGGTCCCCACCCTCCTCCTCCTCCTCCTCCCGGGGATCCCGACGCTGCTTCTCCACCCCACCTGGGGTCCCCACCCTCCTCCTTCTCCACCCAGGGGTCCTGATGCTTTCTCTCTGCCCCACCTCGGTCCCCACCCTCGCCCTCCACCCAGGGGGTCCTGGCCCTTTTTCTCCGTCCCAGCCTCACTCTGTGCCCTGTTCTCTGTCCTCATTCCTTCTGCTTCGGGGACGTCTTTGGCCCTTGGCCCTGGTCACTCTGGTCCCTTTCCCTTTCGCATCCGAAGTTGAAATGACAGGGAGCTGTCGAGGGGGTAATGGGTTCCAGGCAGCCAGAAACCACCAGTTAGATCCAGGGGAGCTTTGACCCTGGAATGTAGCGATGACCCACTTTACTGAGCTTCTGCTAAGTTCCTGGCAGCACCGTCTTTGGTTAGCCTGGCGGATAGCTGCTCTCTCCATTGTATAATTGGAGAAACTAAAGTCTGGAGAGGTCCTTTGGAGTATTTGCAATGGTCTTTACTAGTAATACAAAAATTAGCCAGGTAAGGTGGTGTGCACCTGTAATCCCAGCTACTCGGGAGGCTGAGGCAGGAGAATCGCTTGAACCCAGGAGAGGGAGGTTGCAGTGAGCCAAGACCCTGCTGCTACACTCCAGCCTGGGTGACAGAGCTAGAGTCTGTCTCAATCAATAATGAATCAATAAGGCCTGACACAGTGGCTCACACCCTTAATCCCAGCGCTTTGGGAGGTGGAGGTGGGCAGATCACTTGACGTCAGTTCAGGACAAGCCTGGCCAACATAGTGAAAAGCTGCCTCTACTAAAAATACTAAACTTAGCCAGGCGTGGTGGCACACACCTGTAGTCCCAGCTACTTGGGAGGCTGAGGCAAGAGAATCGATTGAACTCAGGTGGTGGAGGTTGCAGTGAATGGAGATGGTGCCACTGCACTCCTGGCTGAGTGACAGAGCAAGACTGTCACAAAATAAAATGAACAGTTCTGTGATTTTTAGTATATTCAAAAAGTTGTGCAACCATCATCACCATCTACTTCCAAAACATTTTCATTGCCCCCAAAGAAACCTTGTACTCGTTATCAACCACTCCCCATGATCTCCTCTCTGCCTAGCTCCTGGCAACTGCTCATCCACTTTCTACTTCTGTGGATTTACATATTTGGGACATTTCATATAAATAGACAATATATGGCCTTCTGACTTATATATGGTGTCTGACTTCTTTGACTTAGCATAATGTTTTTTCAGGTTCATCTATGTTGCCTCTTGTATTAGTACTTATTTCCTCTTTATTGCTGATAATATTCCACTGTATAAATATACTACATTTAGTTTATCCATTCATCAATTGATGTTTGGATTGTTGCCACTTTGTGGTATGTTATGCTGCCTTGACTCGACAGAATATAACCTTTATTAGGCAGGGACAATATTAATGGAATGAATGGATATGGATGGGGAAGTATTTATTTTAGGCAGATTTAAATAAGGATTGACTCACTGATTTAAAAAGTTTCTGCTTAGCTCTGTTTCTTAATAAGTAATGAATTAATAATTTAATTCAGTGAATGTTTATCTTGTGCTATTTGCACTGTCTTATAATGGCCCTCAATGTGCAGATTATCCATTAACTCAAAAAAGCTGTTTCATGCCTGTTAGTTGATTGAGACTCAGCTAAGTAAATTTAAAGCAATTTACTTCTAGTTCTTTCTAGAAAGATCCTAAACCTCTAAAATTAAGACATATTTCTAGTGGCTGGTAGTATTCCTTTGCTTTGTTCACTGCAGCCTCTGCCTTTTGGGTTCAAGCAATTCTCTTGCCTTAGCCTCCCATAACTGGGACTACAGGCACGTGCCACCACAGCTGGCTAATATTTTTTGCATTTTAGTAGAGATGAGGTTTCACCATGTTGGCCAGGCTAGTCTCGAACTCCCAACCTCAGGTGATCCTCCCAACTGGGCCTCCCTAAGTGCTGGGATTATAGGTGTGAGCTGCTGTACCTGGCCTGAAAATTGAAATTGCTTTGTGGATATAGGGAAGATGCGAAAAGGGGAAGTAATAGCGTTGGTGATAGCTGCATTGACATTGCACCTAGGAAATTGTCTTGGAGAAAATCATGGGCCAGTGGTTGGGTAACAGATTTAACATTGAAGTTAGGAAGGCACACCACCCTTAGGTTGATTAATTTGTTGGGAGAACTCACGGTACTCTACATATAGTTGGACTCAGTATGATTTATTACAGTGAAGAAATACAAAGCACACTCAGCAAAGGGGAAGGGCATATAGGGCAAGGTCTTAGGAAATCAGGTGCAAGATTCTAAGTCCTTACCCATTGGTGTCACTCATTGCTTCATTCCTTCAGCAACTAGTCCACACATGTGAAATGTTACCCACCAGGGAACCTGACTAAAGTCAGTGTGCAGTGTTTTTTGTTGGGAGATTGTCCCATAGGCACCATTTGCCTATCATGTACTCAAATTCCAGAATCATCTTAGGCCAGACTTTTTTCAAAAGAAATTATAAATTAATATTCCAGAGTTCTAGGAAGAAAGCATATGTTCAGCTTAAATCATATTGTTTACACAAATAGTTTAGGCATAGTGAGCCAGTCTTAATAGGTAATGTTAGAAACCCTCCCAGCATCCAAATCCAAATCCCTGTGAGCCAGCCAACCTTGTAAGTGGGACTTTCAAAAGATAACAATATCAGGCCTGCTATATAAATTTAATAAATTTTCTGTAGCACCACTCTCATACCAATCATAAACAGTTTTAATCTAGCCCTTGAAAAGATTGTGGATTTAGTTAGCCTCTCTTTTTCTTTTTTTTTTTGGAGTTGGAGTTAAGAGTCTCCCTCTGTCACCCATGCTGGGGTGCAGTGGTGCAATCTCTACTCACTGCAACCTCTGCATCCTAGGTTTAAGCGATTTTCTTGCCTCAGCGTCCCGAGTAGTTGGGATTACAGGCATTACACCACCATGCTCAGCTAATTTTTGTATTTTTAGTAGAGACGGGATTTTGCCATGTTGGCCAGGCTGGTTTGGAACTCTTAACCTCAGGTGATCCGCCTACCTCAGCCTCCCAAAATGCTAGGATTCCAGGCATGAGCCACAATGCCCAGTCTTAGCCTTTTTTTTTTTTTTTTTTTTTTTTTTGGAGACAGAGTTTCGCTCTTGTTACCCAGGCTGGAGTGCAATGGCGCGATCTCGGCTCACCGCAACCTCCGCCTCCTGGGTTCAGGCAATTCTCCTGCCTCAGCCTCCTGAGTAGCTGGGATCACAGGCACGCACCACCATGCCCAGCTTATTTTTTGTATTTTTAGTAGAGACGGGGTTTCACCATGTTGACCAGGATGGTCTCGATCTCTTGACCTCGTGATCCACCCGCCTCGGCCTCCCAAAGTGCTGGGATTACAGGCTTGAAACACCGCGCCAGGCTGGCCTCTCTTTTTTAAAGTATGTGAGGATTTGGTGTTCCACCAATGCTTAGGTGGTAGTTTCCATATTTTACAAAATGAAGATAACTGAAATTTCGTGAAGTCAAATGATTTGCCATGCTGTGATACCTAATAATGGAAGAGAGCTGGGATTTAGATTTGTGTATTTCAATCCTTAAATTTAGACCTCTTAATAGTCTACAATAGATGCGTAGAAGAAACAAATTATCGACATCAAATTTTTCAGTCACGCATTCTGGACATTGATATAAAAGGACATGTGTATTGGCTATATTTCACTTCAGTTGGTTGCCTGATTTCATCAGCTCTGGGCAGGGCTTTTTATCGTTAAGAATGAATAATGTTTTATCTCTTTTCCCCCAGGAAAATCTAATGTCATGGATGCACTTAGTTTTGTAATGGGAGAGAAACCAGCTAATTTAAGAGTGAAAAGTATTCAAGAACTCATTCATGGAGCACATATTGGAAAACCTGTTTCTTCATCTGCAAGTGTAAAAATTATATATGTGGAGGAAAGTGGCAAAGAGAAAACATTTGCAAGGATTATCCGAGGTATTTTTTAATATTTTTTTTCATTTTATTTTATTTTATTTTTGAGACGGAGTTTCGCTCTTGTTACCCAGGCTGGAGTGCAA